TGCAAAATGGGAACTCTGGTTCTGTTTGTCATTTGTGCTTGTCATTCTGATTATAACATGTATGGATTGAGAATAATAAAGATTTTTTTAAACATACTTAAAAAAAGGCCACCAGGGTTACTCACTAATGTGGAAATTCAAAGTGAATTTCACATTTAAGACCAGATTATGTGAAATGAAAGCATAGCTTACTTAGACAATGTTCCAGTTTGGAAACTACTTTACACTTGAATTTGTAATTCACTTTGCATTCACCTTGAAATCTACAGTTAGTGAATAACCCTTGTTGGTCGGAGTTTGTGGGGTCTGCAAAGATTTTATATAAATACATGTATAATATTTAAGGTAATATGCCTTTGTTTATATAACTCTATATGTTTACATTATTTTCATGTTAAAACTATATTTTTCTAAAAGCACAAGCTGTAGGTTTTAATAAGCTACTGAGTTGTGAAAATTTCAGACAAGTGACAATTGCTCTTTTAAAATCCATTTCCTTAGTGCTGAAAGGAAGTTTATACAGAAGTGACTTCCAAACTTCACTTGAGATTGATTGTCTTCCTCCATTCTTAACATTGTTTCTGTTGTTATGTCTCTGCTTGTTTTAATTTTAGACATGTTCACTACAGACATTTTCATTTCTGGTCAGATGCAATATAGATCTATTGTATTGAATAATGTGATTTAAATGACGGAGCTCAATAGAAGAAAACTCAATCACAAAGACTAAAAAATATGCAGGAGTCATCAACTGAAGAATAACGCAGCAGAGATTTTGAGTTGAGCTAGATTTCATACACCTTACAGTGAGATGGAAACATGCTATTAGCATAAAGAAACTATTTACAAGGCTGATGGAATTGAGCTAGATTAGCTGTAATACTTTTTTTTTTAAAGCAGATCTGTCACTTTTAGGGATCTTTGCATATTTTGCAAAGGCAACTGAACAGGACATCTCTAGTTAAAGGACCACTATAGTGCCAGGAAAACATACTTGTTTCTCCGAAACTGCTATGTTTATAAAAAAAAGGGTTAATCCTAGAGGGACCTGGCACCCAGACAACTTCATTAAGCTGAAGTGGTCTGGGTGCCTAGAGTGGTCCTTTAAGTTCAAATGGCTGAGGGTGCAGACGAAGGCAAGTTTTACTTCCCTGAAGATGATCCCTTGCGACCTCCGCAATCTTCATCCTCTTGGTCTGCATGGGTGCTTAGTAGAAATTATTTTTTGTTTTAAAAAAACATTGCTGTGTCTCTGTCAAACACATAGATGCGTACTCACACACGCATACATTTCAAATATGCTGATAAACACATTTTCAGATGCAAACTGCCAAACATACACAGGGATTACAACACAGATACCATTGCACACTGACAAACACACACATTGGCACACATAAAAACACTGACAGATGCACATGCACACGCTGAAAGACACAAACACTGATACACACTTACACACACTGGCAGGCACACATACACACAGACACTGACAGAGACATACACAAAATCAAATATTGAAATTTAATATGTTTTAGCCACCCTTCTCTATACCTAACTTTTGCAATGACGAAGACTTCCCTGAGGACCAGTGGGAATTTGGCACAAGCATTGAGTTGTGCTGTGGTTTTTCTCTCTTACCTTTGAGTGCTGGGAAGGATCACTTCCTACCAGTGGGACCTTGCTATCTAGATAGATAGATAGATAGATAGATAGAAAGGGAGAGTGAGAGGGAGGGAGGTAGGGACGGAGAGATAGAAATAGGGAGGGAGAGATAGAGGGAGAGGGAGGGAAGGAGAGGGAGGGAAGGAGAGGGCGGAAAGGAGACGGAGGGAGGGAGTGAGGGATGGATTGATTAATATTAAAATAGGGCTCAAAATTGATTGCCCTACACTACTTGAAAGGCTTAAAAGTTCCTTGCCACTGCAAGCCTGAAGTGTCCATGGTGCACTCACCTGGGATGAATTTCTACTCACCAAGGCTGAATTAGATGAGTGAGTGAATGGAAATGTTGACTCCTGTATTAAATGATGAGTAAAGGGACCTTAAATAGGCATATATCCTATTCCACTAATATACTCCCCAGAGATAGTGTATAATTGTTCCTCTAGAAAACTGCTGGTTTAAAATATGCCCCCAAAGGGGCTTATGTTTATTGTAACAAAACACAGCACCCCTTAAAACTCTTAAATTAACACCAGAGTGTAAGTAATCTGATATTTTTGTAACCAAGTGAGTAGCTGAATATGCAGTTGATGAGGAATTTAATTGGCTATTGTGATTGTGAATGAAACATTTACAGAAATGTATTTTGCTTTATATAACTTCAAATATGTGAATGCACAGAATAATTAAGAAACAGTATCATGTCCCAAACATAGTAAAATAATCTGTAACTCCATGCGCTTCAGATTTGTCACTAATGGGCCAACACTGACACTCATTACAATTCTATCACACCAGCATTTATTTAAAAATTAGAATGTACAGAGTTATGTACAAAGAACGTATAGTGCCATAAAGTTATGTTACTGCAACAAGGTGAACTCCTTGTATAGCTACTACTCCTACTGCTCCCATAATGCATTACCAACCTTTAGAACAGGCTTCCCCAAACTCCGGCTCTCCAGATGTTGCTGAACTACAACTCCCATGATTCTATGAATGAAACAGATAGGCTGAGAATCATGGGAGATGTAGTTCAGCAACATCTCTAGGGCCTGCTCTAGAATATTCTAAAATATTTGGGGTCAGAGGCGTAACTAGAAACCATGGGGCCCCGGTGTAAAAACCTCCATACGTCTACTTCCCACAACCCCCCCTATACGTCTCCCCTCCCCCTCTCATACGTTGCCCCCCCACACATGCAGACAAAAACATAGACACACACATATACAGAGACACAGACATACAGGCACACATACATACATACAGACACACACATACATACAAACACACACATACATACACACATACAAACCCTCCTCTTCCTCCCAGCTCTGACCTCATCACAGGGAGCCCGGTTGCACTGTTAAAGCACCACAGCGCAGACCGAGCCCCTGGAAATTAATTTACATTCATGGCCCTAAGAGCATGGGCCACCCGATGGGCCCTTTAAGGTCCGGCCCCGGTGGTTCTACTGCTTGGGCCGGGGCCCCAACACTTGGCGGCCGGGCCCCCTGGAGTGGCGGGCCCGGTCACAGCTGCAAACCCTGCGACCGCGGTAGTTCCGCCACTGATTGGGGTTCTACCTTTTTGAGCACCTCTGGTGCAATGGAAAGACACAGACCTGTTTCTCAATGATGACATCTTCCTCCCAAACAACCTACTATTTACTTTTTTAAATGACTAACTGTTGCCACTCATACCTAAAATTACAAATATATCCAACTCGTTCTCAGGTGTCAGTGACCCTTTATTAAAGTACCGCAAGTGAACATAGCAAAGTTTTGTCCGACAACACGGCCTTTATTGAGCTTGCCTATTATAAAGAGTAATGCTGTCACATAGATATTTTGGATGAAATCTCTAAAATGCTTTTAATAACACATATTTTTATTACCTTTTTATAGTCCGTTTTTTTTTTTTTTTTTTATTCTTTATTTTTGCAGTGCAAATATACATTACAGGCTGGCGAGAGGTGCCCCAAAAGCAGTCCTCTGGCTTTTCCCACGCTTGACATGCGGGGCACATGGATAACAGGCACAATTTTTAAACATGCTTAAACATTAGGATTTAAACGTAGATTGTGATTACAAGTTAGAAACTTGCTAGAGCTTCAATAGTTAAAACAGTACTTTAGGTATCAATATAAATTTTTATGTTAATAAGTCAAGAGGGACTTTTTGCAGCACCATCTAACTTTCAGTATAGTCGTCTTAGTAACGTCTGTACAGCTTAACATGTGCTAAGTGTGAAAGTGTAGGTGAGACATGTTTGATAACAGCGTTGATAGCTGGTTTACGACTCCTCTTGTAGATTTACACGCTGTCCATGCCCGTCTTATGCGTTATAATTACAGAGTACGAGAACATGGAGCGTTAATAGGGCATGTATAGCTACATACGGCTAAACTAAAAAACTTTGCTGATAAGGCTCGATTGATCTAGGAGTCAAGGCGTCCCGTAAGCTGCCAGACACATAGGTTATTTGGCATGACTTTGACCAGTGACAGGCTATCTAAAAACACGGCTATTAGGAGACATAAGATTATCATGCAGGTATCTGTAATATCTGCCCTCGTCTTGCCCCTGTCTGTGGGTGACTTCGCCAGGTCATCAGCCAGTGTAGGTTGTACATTAGTGGTATACATAGGTTACCTTAACGTAAGGTGTTAAGATCTGCTCGGGCCTAAACATAGTATGAGGTCACACATGAATACCGTATCCTACGTCTATGTTATTAAGCCTTGTTCATATTAAACAGGGCAGAGATTGGATAGGTTGGCCGTACATGGCGACTAAACATATATATTTACAGTTCAGCTGTCAGTGTAGGATAGGACATACCGTAGGGCTATGCGTCTGAAACTACCTTACCAACTTGAGACCTTTCCTGGCTCGGTCAATAAGATATGTGGCGTTCGGCCACCTTCGACTGGTAGGAGACTACTGTTTAGTGGGAGCTGAAAAGTACCTTTGGTATCTGGTCAGGGCTAGTTAAGTGCCAAAACGAGACAATACAAAACAGAACAAATGATTCAAAGCTGGTTGGAGACATGGGCAAAATATCAGACATTCTGAGCGGTTATTTAACTGTGGAACTATTGCAGATGATGTGGGACCAGCCTCTGCCCTCCATTATTGCTAAGTTCGCGAGGCGTCCGGTTGTCGAGTGTCCGTCTGCTGCTGGGGGTGTTTTCTCGGTGCGGTGAAAGCACTGTAAAGCTTGTCTAGGGATCGTGTCCATGAGGGATGGGGTTGAGACAGTAACTAAAAATCTAAATGCAACTGATCATTAGTCCTCCCTGGGGGATTGTTGTGGTTCGGGCACCAGTCCTCTTAAGTATCCCCTCGGTGCCAGTTTACTCGATGCTCCTTGGAAGCCTTGGATGACGGGACATTGATGTTAGAGGGTTGAAACGGACTGATGTTTGCTACATCCCAGGTGTGATGGGCCTTTGGTCTCCGGTCGGTTGTAGCTTGTTCCTGTCGTGGAGGTAGGCCTAGCGCTGCCAAAACTGAGTCTATTTCCGATGGGTCTGTGACCCGTGTTGTTGCGCCCTCATGTGTGATGATCAAGCTTCTGGGGAATGCCCAGCGGTATGGGATGGAGGTTTGGCGGAGAGTGGTCGTCAGGGGTTTGAGGAGGCTCCTCCACAGCAGGGTAGGCCTAGATAGGTCTTGAAAGAATGACAGGCTGGCTGTCTCAAAGAGGTGGGATGCCTTCCCCCTCACCGCTGCCATGAGGGTTGCTTGGCCTGTCCGCGTTTGAAATTGGAGGATGATATCTCTCGAGGTGTCTGCTGGGGCACTGGCGGCCCTTGGGATTCGGTAGATCCCGTCTGTGAGGGCTGTCTTCATCTGCTGTGGCGTGAGTAGGGAGGAGAGGAGTCGTCCAATATATCCCTGTAGGTCATCCTGGGTCACGGTTTCGGGGACCCCTCTTATCTTTACGTTACGGCTTCTATGCCGGTCCTCCATTTATAGTCCGTTTTTAAATACAGCATCTTATTTTTAAGTTTTATTGTCCAGTTAATATAGTATTTATGATTACATGCACATCTGACGGCTGTCAAACTTATTAATTAGATATAGAATTCTGTTTCATTTCACACAGAAAAGGCCACTAATGGTTTATTTAAAATCATACATTTTTTATGAAAGGAATTATTATACTCATACTCTTAAATATGTTGAAGTAATATAAGTTGTTTTTATATATAGAAAATAAATCTCACATTACATTAGAGTCTACAAATGAAAAGTATTGATAGCTGGCACACGCACAGTGGATTTTATTTGTTGATGGATCTTTCGCTGAACACATGAGGCTAAGTATGCTTTTAACAACAATAGTCTCCTTGGCACGAGTGATACTGAATATCCTGCACTGCCAATCTTTGTCAGAATGCCTAATGAGATTACAGGTTTTAGCTTTGCAAGTACCAATACCCAGCTCCTCTAAAGCCTGTCTTTTTATCTTTACAGGCAGCCCAAACCTTTGGTGAGAAGTCCAGAGCTCAAGAGAACAAATATATACCAGCACTGGAAGTGTGACAGGTCGGATTTTATTTGCTCATCTTGCCACATTGACTCAGACATCAGCTGCGAGAGAGAAAAGAAAGTCCATAGATGTGATGCTTCAGAGAATTACAAGAATATATTTTGTAACATTCTAAAGACATAGATCCTGGTGTGAAAATTCCATCATTGAAACTCAACAGAACAGGTATCATGGCTACATCTCGACTGCCGACAAGATCCACAAGGGACATTGCTAATGTCATGCAAAGGCTGCAAGGTATGTGCCTTATTTTATTTTTTTTAAACTGCTTTGCTGAGTCTTCTAAATAGAGAATTGACCAGATAATACTTAAAGTGACACTGTCAACTAAAAATGCCTTTTTCTCTATAAATTAGTTTAGAACAATTATTCTAATTAATATTAATATCATCTAAGCACGTTTTAGAAGGTTGAGATGGAATTAGCACTTGAAGACAGTTACGCACTATGGAGGTAGCCATCTTGGAATAGTATCACTGTTTGCAAACACTCAGTGACAGTTGCTGAAACTAACAAGGTTACAGAGAGCATGTGATGTCAACAATATCTGTGATTTATACAGTAGCTCATAGCTGTTTACTACAATAGTTCTGTGAACTATCTAATATATAAGTATAGATTAGACAACATGTGCATTTGTTTCCTGACAAATCACGATTCATCCAAATTCTGGGGCAATTTGTCAAATCGGTCTTAATCACAAACTGTAAAATCACATATGGATGTATTCCAAAACAAATCATTTCCCTAGAGACAACTATTCTATTTTTTTGTGATACAGAGTTTAACTTCCAACTATTTGCACTCTGGCAGAGGAGGATGGGGGCTCTAAAAAAAAGGGGGAGGAAGAAGTGATAAAAATAACCTGGGCACACCAATATGACCCTTCCTATCCACACCAATAGGCTTCAGGTGGGGTGCATTCATTAATATAGAGTAGACATACCCTTGTCTACCCTTCCAATTTAGTTAGGGCCATTCCCCCACCCTCCTCTGCCCCAGTGGCTAGAGGTTCCAAAACTTTATACCTACCTGCTCATTCTAATATTAGTGAGGGGGTTCAATAAATCTAAAACCTGTATTTTTTTTCTTAAATCTTCTTTTTTTTAGACCCACAATGGCCGAGCAAAAAGTCATAGTAGTGTGAAACACTAGAAAAAAAATGCAACACAAATTAACATTTTGAGGTGTTTTTAAAAGCTGATCATAGTATTTTTTTTTACTATTTTAAAGTTATTGTGTACTGACGTGTTAGTGGTGGGTTTCCTTCATATTATTTATTCAGTTTATAAAAGGAATGTAAGTCATACATAGTCCATGATTTATGTATTAATATACAATATTGTAATGTTATGTTAGTAAATGTTTCACTTTAAGTCGAGTGCCCTCCCTGGTCAAAGCATATTTTTGTCAGTGTCAAAATAATCATTTATTGTACTATACAAAATTGAACTTTACACATACTCAGTATAGGAGGCATTTTACATGAATGCACAAATCAAAATGGTTCCAGCAGCACATTATGGTAAGTATTGCAAAAATTCTCATTTCTGCTATTGTTATATGACTTCCACATGCCCCCTACAAAAGTTGAAAAAAATTAGACTTACAAACATGTATTCCTAACACTGTAGTGTTGAACTAACTGTTTGGGTCCCTGACATCCCTCATATAATTTGTTAGTTCGTGAAAATAACAGCATAAACTTTTTTTCTTTTAAAAGATCCATAAGATTCACTGGTCTTACTTGTGGTATTAGAAGGTATAGTAAATGTACGGCTCAAGTGTAATATATTTCCAGACATAAAACCTTAAAGTGACAATATTAGAAATGCCAGACCAGTCCTTTGTTCATCAAAGAGAAACTGGCAGTCCAACGTTGCTACTTTACCAACAGCAGGATTTATTCAGTTTGGAGGCTTTTGGAGGCTTAGTAGCAGCCAGGAAAAGTAGAAGTTGGAACCAGTCACTAATATCTTCCCATATAGAATATTGGAAGCTTTAAGACACTGTTTTATTAGTAGCAGCTGCCGCTAACTCCCAGTCGCTACTTTGACTTGACAGATATTAAACATCCACTACTTGCTTAACGTAGAAACAGACACTATAGCAAGTAGTGGATCAGTGAATAAGCACTAATGATACCAGTTGCCAATAAAATAATGTAAATTATACATAACCAATATATGGCATGCAGCCGCAGACACATAATTGTAGATTATGCTAACGGAGTGTACCTATAATCTTAATTTTAGTAATGACTGGAGGCAAATATTTGCATATCTCTCTTTACTGAAAACTTCCAGCAGCACAGAACAACCAATCAGAAAACATTTAAACATTACACAAAAGGCTATGATACGCCCATCTCTTCCTCTTTCTTTGTAGCGAACTAGAAAATAACGTTCCAAATAGAGTTCAATCCAACAGGAAACCAGAAATAAACTTGCAATCCAGACTACGGTAGTGGAAACATCCAAAGTGTCCGTAGAATCCAAAAGTGAGGTATAATGTGATGACTACACTGAAAAGAAACAGAAAAAAAGTGAAAGGCATCTGAAGTGATATGTTGTCACTCATTCAATAACAATCTATCAATTAAGTTCAAAATATGCAACTAATATAACGGTAACCAAATTTAACATAATTCATCATACAAAACACTAGTCTGATCTAAGCTTCATAACAATATAATAACTAAACACGAATTATCCAACTGCATAAAGCGTGAAAAACCTAAGGTTAGCAGGAATCGAAAATTAGAAATAGATAAGAGCAGAATAGAAATTACCTAGGGTGGGAAGAAAGAAAGGGTGGGAAATATTTGCCTCCTGTCATTACTAAAATTAAGATTATAGGTACACTCCATTAGCATAATCTACAATTTTATCACATGACAGGAGTTTGATGACACCCCCCTACCACGCCTACAGATAGCCCCAAAGGAAAATAAAGTCAAATAGAAATGCAATTGCGGCACTCACCGGCCGTGACGCACAAGGGACTAGGGAGGAAGGACAGACCGTGTGTCCAGAGACAGAAGGGGGAGAGTAGGCCTCAACTGGAGAAAAAGTGGTGAAAGCATTAGAAAATTAAAAGTCTGACTGTAGGAGGGTGCAGCAGAATCAGAAGGTATAACATAGAATTATAGGAAACTAATCAATAAGAAAGTACAGTACATTAAATACAGTACTAAGTCAGGAGGACCAAAAACTCTGACCTGTGCTATGGCTGGAGTAGCAAAGAAAGAGGAAGAGATGGGCTTGTCAGGGCCTTTGTGTAATGTTTAAATTTTTTCTGATTGGTTGTTCATATGCAAATATAAAGCCTCCTGTCATATGATAAAATTGGGTACAACACAGATGTAATAGTGTTGAAAGCCGTGTATATGAGCCTATACCAATTCTCCAACATTGATGAGTGAGTTTTGTTATCTGCACGATATCTCGGTAATTGGTTCATACTGCATACTACGTGATCATATTTTTGGTTTTTGACGAAATTTGATTACATCAGCTAGAAGAATAATGTTGTCATTACGTACATCAAGTCATCATAAAGAGTATTGAATATAGGGAAACACATCCATGGCATCTTGAAGGATCGGAAAATATAAGTATTTAAGATTTTTAGTGTAATTGGTTTAAGGTATGATACACTGAATTATCACTAGTCACAATATTGTATTCATTATGCTGCTCAGTTTATTGACATTTGATAAGATTAAGGTACATATTATGACATTTTGGAGATTTTTTCTTTACTTTAGCAAGTAGTGTCTGGCTAGTAGTGACAGATATGGACATATGCTAACCTTGTGACTTATTGTTTCTAAATTGTATCCAATTTCCTGGCGCAAGTTACTTAGTCTATATAATAAATACCATTCCCCGCCGCTATATCTATATTTCCTTAGGGGTGTTTTTCACCACAGTCTGAGAGTTTTCTGTGCCTGCGTAATTTTTCATAAATGGATACTGTTAAATCCCACATTTAAATAAATTTTATTCAGAGCATAAAAAATTAAACCTCAGCCTCTAATAAATGAAGGGTATACTTTTTACATGCTCATGACATTGTGGAACTATGCGTTTTCCAAAATACCATCAAATGACTTACAAATGCTAATTTGCAGATTATTTGATCATTTTATTGAGCCTAAATAAAGCATAAGCTATAAGTGTAATGACAGGTACCCTTTAAATTGTTATTCTAAAACGTTCTTATCTTTCACCAGAATAATAAGCCATTTAAAAGTCATATTATTAGACTGAGACTTGTAATATTTTAGAATAACAATAACACTTTGTAATTTGGAGACACATCAGTTAAATATTATTTAGAATGCCATTCTGAAAGCAATAACCTCTTCAGCTTAATAAAGTGGTTATGGTCCAACGAGGCTTTGATACTACCT